TTTACGAAATACAAATATGATAGACGTGAACCATGAAATTGTTCGTCCTTGAACTTTCATCTTGATTCAACGGAAGTTACACCGTAAGATATTTTTTACGATCAAGCAAAACAGAAAGTAAAGATATTATGCTTTCAAATTATCTATTTAAATTGTCTAGCCGTATGCTACGTGGGTGCATTAAAATTAAAAAATGAAATTTTATAGTTAATGTCGCTTCACTATAAATTATGCAGTCATACAGAAGAACAAAATAACCAGATTTTCTTGGATATTCAATCATCAAACTAGTCGTGCATATCATGTTATAGGGACATCAGTTAAGAATGTAAATTTCCGAAACACGAATGAAAATTGCCGCATTTGGTTATTAAATTGATCCAGTACACAAATGGGATAAAGATATTGACTTGATATTAAGCAGCAATCTAGATTTTAATAAATAATAATGCATTGAAGTTGTATTTGTACCTGTGGTCACCTAACATTCATTGGTGATGAATTTCATTACATATTAGAATGCAAATACTTTGAAGAAAACAGGAAACATTGTATGTAACATTATTATTTTTTAAAATGCAAATACTGTTAAATAGAGGTCGGTCATTTAAAGACGTATCAACCGTATCATATACGTTGACGTATATGCATCTTCAGATTTACCAATAAACATTATGTGATCCCGAGCTTTAATTGTCTATACTTTCAATAATGCAGATTGGCAACTGATTAATTTCTAATGCTAATATTTAATAATGTAGCTTACCTAATTGTTGGAAAAGAGGGCGGAAACGTTTATGATAAGGTTGATACGTTTTTAAATGACCGACCTCTAATACAAGCAGATTATGTCTTCAAAACACAAATCAGAACTGATTAAACTTTGTAAATTTATAAAGATGATCAACACAGGTATATGTGCTCCTGGCTAAAATGTACTTCATATATTGTTTTGTTTGTTCTGTCTTATGGTAAATATTGTACATAAATGTCTTCTCTATACCTATGTATATGGTTTATTGAGAATACAGATAAACATCTTAACTATACTATCTTATATAATTTCCTTCAACATTTTGCACCAAAAAATATCTTATTAACCATTGTTTCCCTTGTACACATCACCTTCCTTAATGACGCTTTGTCAATGATCTGTTACGCGACCTAACGCAAGACATATTATAGTCAAGAACTTGGGCAGGTCTATATATTTTCCACTAGCGGTAGTTGATGACTCTATATGTTGTTCAAATTTATCCTGATGTTTCGCGTGAACACATTTTTAATGAGTTGATTGTTACAATAACTACACATCTTGAGAAATATAAATAGGTTTTGGACTGCATATATTGCAAGAATGAACATGATGAAATAATGTTTGAGTGTATTGATGTGCTTGTGGTAAATTAAGACAACAGTTTATAGATATTTATGAATATTTGTATACGGAATCAAATTTGTAGTTATACTTGACATATATAGAGAAAAGTATTATAAATGACGGGAAATAAACTATGTTCATAAAAAAAATTCCAGTCAAAACGTTTCTGTAGTCTGCATACATGTACACTATAATTTTGACATCTTACACCATCACAAATCTATCCTTGTTTTGGTAACGAGGTCAGTGTTCAATTGAGATTAAATAATATTCGTGACGTTTAAATTATGTGCACATATACATTTATTTAGTCATAAGATATTGAACAAACAAGAGATTTAAAATTCGATACTTGACTGATCAATAGGGCATTAAATTGTCTTTAGTGTACTTATAGTGTCTATTTTCTTGTTAGGGATGAAGGATGCATATATACCCTACCACCTTCTTTCTGTGTTTTTGTTTGATGTTTTTCTTTGTATCGATCTGATGAGTTAAGCCTTTTTTAACTGATTTTTATAGTTTGTACTTATGTTGTGCTGTTACACCACTGTCCCAGGTTAGGGGAGGGTTGAGCGCTCACAAACATGTTTTACCCCGCAACATTCTTTATGTGCCTGTCCCAAGTCAAGAGCCTGTAGTTTAGTGGTTGTCGTTGGTTCACGTCTATCACATATTTGTTTTTCGTAAATTGTTTTGTTATAAATTAGGCCGTTGGTTTTCTTAATTGAATTGTTTCACATTTTTCATTTCGGGGCCTTTAATCATTGTTAATAGCCGACTATACGGTATGCGTTTTTCTCATTGTTAAAGACCGTACGGATGCCTATAATTGCTTACATTCACTTCATTTGAACTTTGAAGATAGTTGTCTCATTGGCAATCATACCACATCTCCTTATTTTTATATTCAACGTTAAAGACAATTCTAAATAACTGTCAGATGCTGGGAAAAAATGAAGCGAAGGCCCGCAAGGCCAGTGCCCATTATTTCCCAGGAATACACCGTTATTTGAACTTTCGCTTAATCAAAATACAACTTTGATATTAAAAATAATTTTTCATAACTTTATTTGATTTTTAACGGTTTTCCTTTCGTTTGCCGCGTATTGTACCCAAAGAAACGGCAGGAAGAATATTAAGATAAAGCTGACCATCTACTCACTTATCAGAGTTTTTATAAATAAAGGTATATAGTACACTATATTTCTTCAAGATTGACTTTATAAGTCATTGAATAAGCAAGTCTTTCTTGTAATGGGAAATGGATAGTATTCGTTTTTACCCGCTTGATTACTATATATGACAGAAATTCAACCAGGAAATGCAACAGAACATAAATTTTGATTTTTTATCTTTTTAAATATAACTCAAATAGAATATTAGGTGTACTGTGCATCGTTGACAGCGAATATTTTAGTTGGTTTTAATGAATACGATATCATATTTTATACGATTGAATTCTGTCTCGGAATTTAACACCTTTTGTTAATAACGAGATATATATGTTCAATGATTTCATTTAGTGCAGTACGTTGCCATTTTTCCCAAACGGACGATCCTACCTTTAAATCCACAATCAGGGGTTTTAGTAAATTTTGATATTTTTTTCAATTTCCCGTTTCGTTAGTTTAAACAGTATTTATTAATAAAAATTACAACAATATAGTATTACAATGTTACATGAAATTCAAATATGGGATTCGGAAACAAGTTTGGAAAAACTTTTATAAATCTATCTCCCCAAAAAAAACATCTATTTAACAAACAATATGACCTGCCAACAGTATATTAAGTTTAAGGTAACATATAATAAATTTGAATAAATACCAAGAAAAAAAAAAAAAACACTAACGAAACAATAACGTTTCGTTATTTAGAAATATTTCCTCGGGTGAACACTTTTTAAGAAAAGTGTCCATCAAAATATCCAAAGAGGAGAAAACGTCCGGATGAATGAAAATCAACAATGGAAAATAACTCTACATTTATGAAAAGTAATGAAGCGTTTGAACAAAAATCAACGTCACAGTTGTATTCAAGTTGTAGTACAGTAGGTCGAAATAAGCAATTTTAAGTGTTACGTTGCTAAGAATATAGCAAAGTGCCCTCGACCAATCAAAGTGAAGAATTTGCATGGTGTTCCTTAATTGTGAAGAATGAATTTAAACATGTTCTTAAAAGACAGGATTATTAATTGAAAGTTGATTTCACTTTTGATACAAGCAACAAAAAAAAAATAAGTTTGAAATTTACTTGTGCAGTATACATGTAATTGGCAATTCAAAATCACAAAAAAGCAATATCAAAGCAATGTGAAAGAAGGAAAAGAATAAAAATCTAAAATTAAATTTAACCTTAATCTTTAGCTAATACACTTACCAAAAATCAGATTACCGTATCCACAGTTAGTAGGAATAGTCATTTCCAATATACCGGTACAAACATGAAATCGAATTACAAATGTAACTTTTGAATTTCTCAAAAAAAACCTTTTATTTTAATTGTTAAATTTTAGTGTATTAAGTAGTATTTGATGTAAAAAGCTGGAAGAAAATTGGTTGTGGAATGCAATTTAGTTATAACTCTGATTTTGAATTTATTAATTTGATTTGTAAATAAACAAAAAGATAATTCCTCATTAGATTATTACATAATTTACACTCATACTCACAATTACGAAATGTATACAATTTCTACTATTTCATTGTACCGTTGTGTCAACTAATGTCTAAAACACAATTTATTAGAATTTCCCAAACTAAAAGTAAGTCCTCACATTACTAAGACTAATACATAAATAAAATACACACAAAGGGAGTCATTGCACTAACAATGAAACAAATTTTTGAACAAAACCAATCAAGAGATCATTTGAGCCTTGAGCACATTACAATATTCTAAGTTTGTAAGAGAATGATTATCCCTTTCTCATGATAAGTACTCGCTAACGCTCGTACTTAATCACGAAGAAAGGGATTATCATTCTCTTACATATGCATGTTTATTGAAGTTAAAATTGATAATGAAATGGGGAATGTGTCAAAGAGACAACAACCCGACCAAGGAGAAGAATTTTATTGAAGTTGTCTAGTTAAATAATCTGACCTGAAGTATTTTAAATGCCAGTAAACTTTTTTTAAAAGTGTTTGGAAGTTTACGAATAATTATCAGTTAGCGTTATGCATGTTATGACAGGTTCCCCTTGTAGGTTCCTCATGCTTGTAAAAAACACAATCAGTGACTATTAACCAAAGAACGGGGACCTAAGATGAATGAACTATCATATTACGCCGTCTAAATTTTCTGACACTGCTATCATTTGATCAAACTTTCCTGGAATTTGATATTCATTTTTATAGTTCATAACATATTGTTGAAAACACTAAGTCGGTAAACATGTTTGCGATGTTCCCCTTATATAATAATTATAGTGAACCGTATCAAAGGACAATAAAAATGGAGGACAAAAGATATATGTACAACAATGTGGGATTTATCCTGTGTAAATAAGTGGACCGTATCAAATCAAATTTAGGTGTTTGTTTATTTTAATTTTTCTCCACAGGCTTAGAAATAATGAATAGCACATTTCGTTTTTCATTTACATTTTACATACCTAGTTCCTGTTTCAATCTATTCCAGATGTCGTGGTTTGTCTGCAACGAGGATAAAATTTTAGCTGTGCATGTAAAGCCGGTCATATTTGTTAATTTCTTCTGATGAACCTTAAGAACCATTAAAAAAAAAGCACTTGGCAATGTGAAAAATAATACTGATTTAATTCTGACGCATTAAGATTATAATTACATGAAAAATATTTAGAAGTAAACAGAGACAAAGATAAATATTTTGTCAGAGCTGATCCGACAGACGCAGCCAAAAAGAAATGTATTTCGATCTGTCAAAATACCAACCACAGCTGAAAAATTCTTACAGAAATATTTACCAGAGTATATAGTACTTAGATGACAAACTGAGAGAGAAATACTGGACTGTAAATGAAGTGAAGAAGGAAAGTCTTATTGGAGACAAGTGTTTGTTTTTTTTTGTTGTTGTTTTTTTTTTTTGAGAATTGTTTTTTGTGTGGTATTCGTTTAATACCAAGCGTAACTATAAGAATGTGTATATTAAAAAGACCAAACCAGATGAAACGTATGAATTCAATATCAATTATCTGACTTACTTTTTACATAAATGCTTTGATGGTAAAATGCAAACTTGTATTTACCTGTGCAATGTTATTACATCCTTGTGTGACTTTTGTGTGACCTTTAAAATTATTTAAATAACGGGTGCATTCACGTATTAGGGTAAGTGTAATGAATACATTCCGAATTAGAACTGTCAATTCATAGCACTGCATTTTCAAATTGTTATACTATTTTTTTTAAGGCTGAGTACTACAATTGTTTGTATGAATGTAGTAAGTGCTGTTATGCGTTATAAATTGTACTTATCTATTTTTTGAAAAGAAAATAGTCTCCAATAATTCTTATATGATTTGCATAATAGGGAATACGTTGATATGATTGGTCGAAAGAGCTTCCAGTAGTTCCCTTGACGTGATTTATTTTTCGACAGACGACGTTGACGGAACTACTTTTTATAACCAATGTAAACAAGATGGCGGCGATAATAACACAATCCGGCTCGATGTTAAAAATATTTATTTTCACTTCGCGTTCATCATTTTATATCAAATAATAAACACATAACATAAATTTGAATGATAATAAGATATTTTTGTAGTTTATTTTTTTATCAGATAGAAAATTCATCAAAAAATATATTCACGTGCCAGACCAATTCAATGACACAAATATACAATTTACGTGTGATAGAGATTACGAGTGAAGAAATTAAATTCCTTATCTCCAATTCTAAAGAATTATAAGGATTAAACGCATTTTTAAAGGAATTTATTGGTGTATAAACATGACCAAGTCACTAACAAAAATACCATAAAAGTAGTTCGGACTTGTTTTTGTTTGTGAGTGAATTGGTCGAGTGAATACACCAATAAATTCCTTAAAAAAGGCATTTAACTCTAAAATGCTTATACATTTATAGAACCCAGAACAGCTGAGACAGCATCAATCAATCAAAAACAACAATAATCACGACAAATTTGCTTATTTCAAACATGCACATCTAACATACTATAGTTAGTTTGCTTTTGGAATTGAGCCAATTTTTTTTACCCAAAACGGAATAACTTATTCATAGATTTTCATGCATTATATTTCATACTAGTGTATTGTTTGATCTGTTATTTCCTTGAATAAAAAAACAACAGGAATTAATTATATGATATAAATCATTTGCTTATTTAAGTGGGAAGATAAATATTAACAACATACAGCATACGCCATATAACGTTCTACTTGGGAGTCAGGTATGTTTGCAATATTTTATGTTTTAATCTTAATCTAAATGATATTATTATACTTTACTATAGTAACCAGTAATAAAATAATTAAGATATTACTGTATGATTTTATTCCTTCAAGGAGAATAACCCCTTTCCCCGCGGCAGATTGCCCGTAGGCTAAATAGCTGTTTGGGAATATGCGCGTTGGCAAAATAACTGTTCGGAAATATCCGCGTATCCTCTTTTAAATTTGGGAAACATTTGCACGTCAAAATAAAAACAAGTTGGTGACGTCATATCGTTTATTGACGTCTGGAAATTATGGCGACCGCCTCAAGATTTGGCTGAAGATTTTTAAGGTGGACCATTGGTGTATATTTCCTCAGATAGAATTTTCTTATACTTTGCCAAAATGTAGATTTTTCCATGCTTTTTTCAAAAACATAATAAAAAGTATGGGTTGCCGTGGTTTTTTTCAAGCTACAAGTCATGCAAAATTGCCCAAATTTGCATAGATTGTTCATGAAAAAACACTTTTTTGTGAATAAAAAGAAATCTATGAGATAGAATTTTGAAATAAAATATGAGAAGATAGGTTTTAGAATATGCTTTAAGAAAATAGAAAGAAAAAATGGTGTCACCGACATTGTTTTCTTGCTAGTAAAATTTGAAAATTTCCCTATCATTCCTTTATAAAAATTTTACTATTTGAGTTATATCCCCTTAAATGACCAAGTTGCAATTTGATTCAAACAAACACAAATACTTGGTATTTATTAAATCAGTCTAACAGATTATAGCCAATCGGTCTCAAAATTTGCTAATTTAAGCAAAGAACTACACCGATTGTGAACTGATATTTTACAATCCAAGATGGCGGTATACAGTTAATCTACCTTAAACAATAATCATATCTTTGTATTTTGTTCAGTATAATAATACAGTTATGGCCTTCATGAAAAGTTAATATCCAAAATTATTATATGTCGAAATGGTTATTTTCTCTCGGTCCTCGATTTAATAATTTTCGATATGAACTTTTCAGGAAGGCCATTTGTATATTATAGGTGATGTGTTTTTGTTAGATGTATTTCTATGTGTATCCCTTTGATGAGTTAAGCCTTTTTCAACTGATTTTTATAGTTTGTTCTTATGTTGTACTGTTACACCGCTGTCCCAGGTTAGGGGGAGGGTATGGCGCCAACAAACTAGTTTAACCCCGCCACCTGCTATATGTGCTTGTCCCAAGTAAGGAGGCTGTAATAGAGTGGTTGTTATTTGTTGCTGTTTATCACATTTGTTTTTCGTTCATTGTTTTTAGAGTGTGTTCTTGTTTTGTGCTGTTAGACCACTGTCTTAGGTTCGGGAGAGGGGTTGGCGCCATCTTACTAGTTTAACCCCGTCACATTCTGTATGTGCCTGTCCCAAGTCAGGAGCCTGTATTTCAGTGGTTGTCGTTTGTTGCTGTGTATCATATTTGTTCATGATTTTGTATATAAATTAGGCCGTTAGTTTTCTCTTTTGAATTCAGAGCCTTTTATAGCTGACTATGTGGTATGAGTCTTGCTCATTGTTGAAGGCCGTACGGTGACCTATAGGTGTAAATTTCTGTGTCATTTGGTCTCTTGTGGAGAGTTGTCTCATTGGCAATCATACCACATCTTTGTATTTTTTATATTGATAACAATATCAAATGTTTACCATCATTGAGGTATTTATGAAGCTCTATGTTTACTCTGGTTTTCAGTAAAGGTTAATGTGGTCCAATTTGATAAAGATAGATATATTTTTCATATCTTGCCAAAATTTAGTATATATCATGCAAACTTTGAAAGCCAAGTATATGTTATGTACAAGTTATCATTATGTAAAAATTATAATTTGTCCAAAAAAGTTGTACAAGTATAATTTGTATGTTGACTTTGTACAAATTATAATTTGTCCAAAAAAGTTGTACAAGTATAATTTGTATGTTGACTTTGTACAAATTATAATTTGTCCAAAAAATGCTTTAATAATTGTACTAAAATTCACTTATAACTTGTACAAAAGAGGGACGAAAGATACCAGAGGGACAGTCAAACTCATATATCGAAAACAAACTGACAACGCCATGGCCAAAAGTAAAAAGACAAACAGACAAATAATAGTACAGATGACACAACATAGAAAACTAAAGACTAAGCAACACGAACCCCATCAAAAACTGGGGGTGATCTCAGGTGCTCCGGAAGGATAAGCAGATCCTGCTCCACATGTGGCACCCGTCGTGTTGCTTATGTTATAAAAATCCGGTAAATAGTATAATTCGGTGGGTCATATTCGTGAAAAGGGAAGTGTATTGTAGTTACGACATAAGGAACATATCCACGACATAAGGGACACAAGGAACATACAAAGGATATATGATAATTTAGCATGATAGAAAAAATGTCATTTTATATTTTTTAACAGTAATACATTTTAATTTTCTTGCGGTAAGCTTTTTTGTATTCAACTCTTCTTGAACACTTTTAGACTGTTCATTATTTTGGGGTCAATTATTTTGATAAGTTGTCACCGGTGTCTGTGAACACTCTTTTGGTTGTTTACTCATGTGATGAAATAGTGTAAACATGGCCAGCATTGTTGATCAGCAGGATAAATTTGTCCAAGAAATTCTGAACCTAGCAAATAATAATACATGGACGCACAATCATGTGTTAACCAAGGATTTTTGGTACTGCATTGGAACAGCTGTAGGAATTTTAACAGAATATTTGTCTATAATTCATATTGAAACTGTTAAAGACACATGTTTATTCACAGCAATGGTTAATGAGCTTCAATTTTCGCTACGTGTAGCAGTTAAAAGTTAAAAAGTTTTAAAAACTTTTGGTCAGGGTTTCTTTCATGTAAATACAAAAAGGGAGGAGGGGGGATGCATCACTTTTTAATGTAAAACAAGAAATTATTTGTATCTGGAATAATTTTTAATTTTGGAAAATTGATAAAAAATGTATGGTAAAAACTAACCCAATTAAAGAAGGCTTGCCATGCATGCACGACTAAAAAAGGGAAGATAGTTAGTTCATACTGAAAAATCAGTGAAAAAAACTGGAACCTAAGCCATGCGCTAAAGTTGGGTTCGTTTTCATCATACATTTCTGATCAGTTTCCCAGAATTCAAAATTATTCCAGATTAAAAAAATTCCTTGTTTAAATGTAAAAAGCAAAAGATGTTGTGGAATTCCCGATCCCATAATTCTCTCACATACTCTAACAAATGATACATAACTATTTTTTTTTGTATTTTGTAAATAAGGTTTACGGAGTGGTCATAGAAATGCTATAGGGTGTATCAATGTGTTTTTTAAACCAAATCCATATTATAAATTGTTGTACAAGTTATAAGTGAATTCTAGTCAAATGTTGTACAAACTGTAATTTGTACTAGCACTTTTTGGACGAATTACAATTTGTAAAAAGTTAAAATACAAATTACAATTTGTACATTTTTTTTGTTTACCACTAATTTGTACATTTTTTTTGTTTACAATTATAATTTGTACAAAATGATAACATGTACACAACAGATATATAACGATATTATATTCGGCTATAATTGTTGGGGCATCTTTTGGTTTAATCGGCTCTTCAACGTTTGAATTAGAATTCGGAATTTCAAATATGCTGTCGTCGAGCATCAATGAAAAGACATATATTGTCGAAATGCTCATCTGGGGGAGTAGAATTGGCACCGTTTGTATTGTTAAAGAAGATAAAAGATCAACTCTACCTCTCCTGTTATTCAAGGTTAAACATTTTTATATCGATGAAAACATTCTTTTCAAGTCAAAAATACTGAGCTTATAAATAAATTCAATATTTTTTTTATTCATTCAAATG